GCTTATACATACAAGTTTCCAAAATAGGACAACGCATTTGGACAGGTTTTGACAGAAATTTAGAATTAAAACCCCTGTAAGTACGAAGTATCATTTACTTGACACTATCGGTGACTTCAGATTATATAAAACAGATTTATTCAAACTGGGAGTTAGTAGTCAAGGAAAAAAATGAGTAAACGATTTTCCTGTTAACTCATTTTCAAACTCAAACTCTAAATATCTTTATTGACTCGACGGGTGATAAAGTAAATCTCTAACGATTTGTAATCATTTGGTTTTTATTTATTTATCGAATAATCCTATTTGTGAGTTAGTACAAGAATAAGGAGTGTATGAAAGAGATAGACATTTACAAAAAACGCGTCTAACGATATTACTCAAATGTTTATCAAACACATTATTATTCGGTGCGTAACTTTTTGTGCATTACTATATGGATGGATCTGAAGATAAGATTAACAGCACTACTAAGAGATTCTATTTGTGTTCGTATCTGTTATTTAGTTTCTGTTAGGTTATATGAACACGTTTATTGAATTGTAAGATCAAAGATTTATTGAGTTCACTAGGTTTCAGCAATACGTTGAGATTCAGAGTGGAAAAACTGTTTAGATTATCTGAATATGCTCAATATTGTTGTGTAGTTGTTGAATATAACAGCCTAGATATTTCTAGTCATCATTCATAAGCTTTCAAGTCCTGAAGAATTATGAGGTTGTCTTCTGAGCAGTTCAAATGTTTTTTGTGTAAGAACAGCGTATCTGATCCAGTTCACTAAACTACAAAGTCATGAATTGAGGTGAGTAGAATTTCTCGTTTACTTAAACCAATGTATTCTGATAAATGCCAACTGTATTGTAAGAAGCTATAGGTTGGTATTGTCATATTGTGGTAGCAAATGAGTATTATGCAGCAGAGCATCACCAAGTTGTTGCCAGAGAGACCCAAATATCTGATGCAATCAGACTTTATTGAAGTACCGAAGAGATGTGAGAGAGGACAACCAGAAACCCTCTTGTATTTCAAATGGATGACTGAACATAAGGTGTTCATACTTTTTAAATAAACTGTATCTTGAGCAAACATATATAGTTTATCTATCCCTGACTTCTATATGCACTACAGTAGGATTCCGTGTACATTTTGTGTTGACCCCAACGAGGCTAATTGGAAGAGTACCTACTGATTTTTCATTTGGCGAAAAGTAATCGTTTTCAAACACTCTGAATACTGCTGAGTCAATCATGCTTAAAGTGTAAGATAGATGCTATATCTTATCTTATCAGTTAGAAACTTGATAACAGTTGCGCAATCTAGCCTAAGTGGAAATAATTTTTAAGCAGTGTTTGATTTATCTATTTGTTTATTTAAAGCGAACACTTATTCAACAAATATATATAGTTGACTTTAGATAGATTTTTTTGCATTTTCAAAACAAGACGATATCTATGTTAAAATATCCAATAAAAGTCTTGCTAAAATTATTAATTTTTTGAAAATATCGCATTTCGAAAGCTAGAATAAGGACATATAAGATTTTATTTACTCAGCTATTGAAAAATATGTATACATATTTAACTAAAATTATCCATATATCAAATAAAAACAAACATAATCCTTTCACCTTACATTTAAATCATTGAAAAGGAACAGGTTATTCTTGTTAATTTTTGCTGCGACGTTTCTTTTTGATTGGTTTTATCTTCTACGATGAATGAAGTTTGGGAGAAAGACATAATCCACTGACTACTAGATAAGACTTATTTAAATAGTCAGCAAGATTATGCTGATATAAATGTTATTTTTCGATTATTTTCTATTCGAACAGAAAAGAGCAAACAATGAATGACCCTGAGGCATTTCTCACAATTTTTTTCTTTCTATGACAGGTTGGATTTTTAAAAATTGTGACTGAATTATTAACGTAAATAATACTCACAAAATGTATACAAAGTTTCTATTCTCGTTTGAATAAATTTCTGAACATAATACTTGAATATTATATATCAATTTATTACGTCTATTGCCTTAAATAATTGTTTGCTGACAAAATTCACAGTTCTCACGATTCACAAATCTCATTTAAATTAACAGAAAAGAATTAGAACTATAAAACTAAGTTAAACTTACATCATTTTTCATTCTCTACACACCTAGTTTGTATGAATTTAAAAAGCTGAATTAAAGGTAACAATAGTCATTCTTCTTTCTGCACTATTAAATTAAGGTGACTTATGAATTAACTTGTTGATAAACCACTAGCTGCGATTATATTCATTTCCTAGCTTCAAAAGATACAAAGTGTACACAAATAAACCTTTCAGCAAGAAATGCGTCTGAGAGCCACAAAAAAATGGTAAGTCCAAAAGTTTATGAATTTATACCGCCTGGGACCCCTCGAGAGCTACTGCCGGTCCTAAGCCTGGATAAAGCAAGAGGGTTGGGAATAAGGTTTGCGAACCCATCTCGTTGAAAATAACTCGCTAAAATTACGATGAACCGAAAAATCAATTCAAGACCATTTTAACCCTGCAGTGAGAGTTGGAAGGTCTTCAATCAGGAAAGCTATGACGTCTCATGATAAAAGCTGTTTCCTCGGAAATCATGAGACCGATGCACCTTCTGACAAACAGAGAAACCATTTTTTCAGGTATATGGAATATTCAAATAATGAAGAAGACAAGAAGATTATATCAAGTTGCTGTAGAAATGAAAGAATACAACCTCGAGGTGCTTGAAATCAGTTAAACACATTGGATGCAGGATGGATAACTAAGATTAGCTTCGAGAGCTCCTGTTATACCTCGACCATGAAGAAGAAAATGCTTCACATACGCACGGGATTGCACTGAAGCTATCCAAACAAGCACAACAAGCACTGATAGGATAGGAGTCTCATGGACCCAGGATCATCAAAGCATTCTTCAAAACAAAGAAAGAGGACATTACAATGAACGTCATCCAATGAGATGCACCTACCGACGATCACAACGAAGACGTTAAACATCAATTCTACGAGAGGCAGCAGTCAGTCTCTGAGAAATTCCCATCAAACGACTTGGTCATTCTGATGGGAGATCTAAATGCCAAGGTTGGCATGTACAACACTGGATATGAAGACATCACGGGATGACGTGGAGTGAGAGAAAGGAACGAAAACGGCGAGAGATTTCCAAACCCATGTGCCTTCAACAAACTGGTCTCTAGTTTTTCTTTCTTCTCTAAGCGCTATCGTTCACTATTTATTTTAAAGATGTCACAGCCAACACTTTAACCAGTAACACATATAACTAAAATTCCTTAAGCCAGGAAAGAAAGAATTAGAAGGTATGTTTGCGAGAAAGCTGAGATGTCGAGAAGTATGTGTTCCATGCAATCTAAATCTTGAGAAAAGGATCGTAACACATCATACCTAATTGTAATCTAATGGGAAGGCATTTCGATCACGGAATGCAGCTCAAACGTTCCAAAGGTTTGCAGATAGCATACTAAGATTCATCGGCGGTACCATATTGCTACGCAAACGCCTACACTAATCCACATGGATTTCACCGGATCACACTACACAGAACCAAATCGACCATATTTGCATCAATAAAAATTTCAAAAGAACCATGGAAGACGGGAGGGCCAAGATAGCTGATATAGCCTCAGATCACTACTTGCTGGTCGCCAAAATGAAACTGAAACTCAAGAAACACTGGACAATGGGGCGGACAACATCGCAAAAGTTTAATGCGGCCTTTCTTCGGGAAACCGTAAAACTCAACGAATTCAAGATAGCCCTCAGCAATAAGTTACAGGCCTTGCACGATCCACTCGATGGAGAGGAAACTAGCATAGAAAACAATAGGAAAGAGATCAATGAAGCAATCACTTCAACATGTCAGGAGGTTCTGGACCACAAGTACCATCACAAGGAATGGATCTCTATTGGTACTCTGGATAAAATACAAGAAAGGAGGAACAAGAAGGCCGCAATCAACATTAGCCGAACAAAAGCAAAGAAAGCCAAGGCACAAGCTCAATACACAGTAGCAAACAGGCAAGTGAAGAGGAGCCATCAAAGTCGACAAACGTAAATATGTGGACGATATAGCGATGACAGCGGAAAAGACTGCAATAGAAGGGAGCTTGAGACAATTGTACGATACAACAAAGCTCGCTGGAAACTATCGTAAACCAGAACGATCAGTGGGAAGTAAGGAAGGCAGAGTTTCTTTGGTTTACTTTTACAAAATTCATTTTCATTATATTTCTAGTCAAAAGCGATGCAAAACGAAAGATCGTGAAAATACAGAAGTCAGCAGATAGCTATTTTGTCTCAGCTTCGGACTTTTCAGCAGAGTGTACGGACTAATTTACAAGCAACAGAATCACTATCTTCACTTCCTACTGATATCGTGTGTCGGCGAAAGCCGTTTGTGAAGTGAATTGCTATAAACAGTTATCCATATTTTCATCTGTGGGTCACCATTCACTTGAGTCTTATTTATTCAAGTATTTGGACCAAAATTATAAATATTTTGCAAAAGCACATTACCTTAAAAAGCTCTCTAGCAACAAACTAAATCAAGAGTGTATGATTTAAGAGATTTATAATTGAAATCTTAACTGGAAGATACAGTTTGTGAAAAAACTCAACCATTTTCTCTAAGCTTTCTTAATAACTTTGTTTTTAGAAAATATGCATAAGTGTAAGCTATATGAACAAATTTCCTCTGACTGTTTCCAACATAAGGGTTTTTTCCACATCTATACACACAACACCTGAAGTGTGGAACAATTAGCCATGATGCAGTTTGTAGGGATGCATCAAACAAATTGCCAGCATAACATTCAAGAAACCTATGAGATTAGTAATGCGATCTATTTTTGATTTATTCAAAACTAATAATGGGTAATAGAATATAAAATCAATAAATACCTGGCTCTCTGAGCATTCTGTACAATCTGTGGTAAAATAAAACAAAACGATGTTGGTTCATAGAACTTGCCTGAATCACCCCCAGGATGAGAAAACGTAGTTGCCGTTGACTTTTCTGAACTACTTATATTCCGATCTGTTATTATAGCTGTTTGTTCATTGAAATATTTATTATAATCATAAGTCCTTGGGTTGTTTGGAGAATAATTTTGATTCTCATCAATTAAGATTAGTCGCATAGAACTGTTATTGCATAACTGTGTTAAAGAATAATCACATTTATTCACAATGCCCGCTGATTGGTTTGCCAGTGACGTGTTAATCGTTGATGACAATACCACTGGTGTAACCATCAAGGCAGATGATGACGATGATACCAGTGATTGCTCCTGATGGATCGGATGTTCTTGTTGTTGCTTTGTCGTAAAGTTCAGAATTGGAAATGTTGAACTTAAGTCCCCTGACATAATTCCTAACTTATGCGCAGGTACCGGTCTGTACTGTGGGATATGCAAGTTTGCTATGACATCAATTGGAAACACAGTTGATGGATTTTCACTGATATTTAAATCAACAGATGATGTCTGACTAGAAGAAAAACGCTCTTTAAACTTGAATGACGTCTGAACACTTTTTGACTGCTTGCTAAAAATAAAAAGAGTGGAGGTTGTTTTTATAAAACTAGATGGGTATGTATGTGATTATACAAGAACTTAAGGTGTCCACAATCATAAAATCGCTCCCTGAACATATTTTTATACTTCTCAAAACCAAGTGATGACAAACTGCAAACTGTGCCTAGTAAACTTATAAAAATTTTAATCCATCAGATTTCTCTGAATTTTAACAAAAATCGATCTATTAATCGTAAGAATTTATTTATACTATGAAAAAGAGTATATTTTGTTAGAGGAATGCTTCACACATAACTTGAAGAATTGAAAAAATATTTTTTTACCTTCTGACGCATTTTAGAAACTATTTCTCAGATTTCTTTTAGGTTTTATTTGTACAGGCACAAAAATATACTTACTAAAGTAGATATTTTCATCAAAATAAAAGATCAGACTTAAAAAGTAAATTGGGTATAAAACTACTTGTCATACTCTGTCTACAAACTAAATGACAATGTCCAACAATTTTCTCAATAAATTTAGTCATCGAGCAAATTTTGTGATAGTTAACTTTACAAAACACTGAAATACCCAACGATGTTCGTTAAAAAAGCATGATTGCGAATTTTTTGAATAAGTCAAAAACTAAAGTAATACTATTTCATATTTCAACCTGGTTCCTGAAAATGTTTCAATTAATTCTAGGGTAGACAAACCACGTTTTTTCATAGTCAATGGAATTACAAAAGAATTCAATGGCACATATGTATGCGGTTTTATTACATCTGAGTAAATTATAACGATAACACGTTATAGTATAATAAATAGGAAAATTTCCAGTGGGGGAAAAAACTTTTTATATATGAATACAGAGTTATGCAAAATTTCATGTGTACTTCTTGTGGTATATATATAACCGCCCTCACTGGATAAGGCCTTTTTAGTATTCACATTAATCAGCGTCGTGACTTGCTTTCCTCAAGATTCGGTCGATTTACCTGGCTTGTAATTAAAGCCCGACAACTTATCCTTTACAGAAGTACGGTGCTTACGATCAGATTTACGAAGAGCTAACGTCAATTTTGTTAAACAATTTTCCCTTGTTCGCATCCAGGCTGAAGACTAAAAGCAGGGAAATACTAGTAATCAAAGAATTTTGTTATTTTTATCACTTGTAATATGAAGAGTATTCACGTCTGTCAGCTCTTTAAGGTTTCAATCCACGTGTAAATTGTATATATTGCCCACGTAAAACTCATCGGTTTCCAAATAGCTACTCGCAACACTTGAAAAACCAGTTAGATATTGCGTTTTCTCTGCACTATTTTACATAAAATGCAAGAACAGAGAACGTCCTTATTAATTAATATCAGTTAATATGCAACTAGAACATTTGTGATATAATGCTAACAGACGTACCATTAATTAATTGTGATCATGAATACAAAAATATATTTTGATGCATAATAAACTAAAAGAAAGCTTAAAAATTGAGTCACATGAAGCATTCTATGCTCCAATAGTTTGCCAAATATACACAGTAGATTTACTGACTAATTCCTGTAAAACATTGCATGAACTTTGTGGTTTTCTTTGTTGCTTCATCGTAGCGATTCTGTACAGCCTCATAAGTTTCAATAAATTTATTCCTCTGCATTGTTCTGCCCCGAATACCATAAACAATCTTTTCTAATAGCACTATTGTAACTGATCAGAAACGGTGTTTTTCCTCCTAAATCATTAGGTAAAAAGATGCTTGTTTTTTAAAATGAAAAGTATGAGTGACTGATATATACACTATGATCTTGTCGTTGTTCATACCTTAAGGAACAAACAACATCCATGGCCTGGTCCTGCGTCAGACTCAAAGACTTGATAAATTAGTTTTTATTCATTTATTACATGATTGAAGTATATTACGAAAATACTACTTTTCGTAAATCATTATCGCTTAGGAATTTTAACACACTAATTAAGAAATTAATGATATAACCCCATGTAGTTGTAAATAGTGATCTAATGCGTTTTCTATGTAAACTCACACTTAGAATGGTCTGATAGAAATTCGTTGACTCAATACATGAGGAAAGTTGGAATTACGTTGAAAATAATGACAGCAAGTTATTTTGGTTATTTATGACTCTTAAACTCTCTGTATTATACAGAAACACTCCTATCTCTGCATTTATGTGTTTTCGTTTGAAGAATTGTCTGTTTTGAAATAAGGCTCGACTATCTCTTCCATCGAATAATGGAAGATAGTTCCTGTCATAAATGACAACGTGAATAAAGGTCTCTAGCCGCTTGTTAAGTGATATAAAATAGCCTATCCGTGCTTGACTTTGTCCGCCTAGCTAATGACGAATAAAGAAGGATGATTGGGCATGGACTTTGGCAACCCAACCCCTTAGAAAACTAACTAACTACAAAAATGCCGACCAGAAAAAATAATTCAAACGATTAAATTTGTCGAAAAGAAACCAAACCTGATTAATAATGAACTGACGAACAATTGTCTGGTTTAGAATGCTAGGATTGAAGATTGTTTTTATCAGATGAACTTATAGAATTCTCAGAAAGTATGCCGAGTGCATCGTTAAACAGGAGAAAAAAGCTCTAACTATCACAACAATAAACCAATTACTCACCAACTGACGTCTTTCAGCACATTATTATTTAAGTAACCAGTCGCATCCATAAAAGCACTGAGGCATTAAAAGCCAACTCTCATCCACTTTAACAGCGACTGTGTTTTGACAATAAGGAAGATGATAACGGCATGCATTAGCTTAAATTTTCTAAAAAGCGTCTGGTAGTAACCCTTTCTGCGTGAAATAGTCTTTACGTAGTTGCACGGAAATGTTAAGTGATCAATAAATAGGTTTATAAAAATATACGACGTTCTATATATCAGACTTAAAGTCACTAATATTAGAATATTTGATGAGTTTTGAAGGGTCTTGTTCAAAATTTTGCAATGCTTTTTGTCGAATTATATCCATTTATTCATTATTTGCAAATAATCTCAAACTGTTTAATAAAACTACTAAAGCATTACTCGACTTAGCCGATCATCCCTGAGATATAAATGTCAATCAAACATAAATCTGCTTTCACAAGCAGTACATACAAATTGTTCTAGGAGCTCAATCAAGGGGCTGAATTTAAACCAGTTAGACTAGAAATAGAATACACAATAAAACTTCGTGAGGTAAATAGTAGTTAAGACTTAGTAAATAGTAATAGGTAAATAAAGGTGTGAAAGGCAGCTTCAACAGAGAAACGTTATTTAAAAAGCTCGAAAACATAAAAAAATAAAATGTTTCAGTAAAATATCTGGTTGCTCCTACCTGCAACCAACATATTTTGGTAAGTGACGATTAAAGACATTGGTGCATATCTTCTCTGAAATATTTTTATTCTGCTCACAAACACATGATATTTTAAAATTTGATGCAAACTCCAGCTCATCGTCGTACTGAGAAGTGTTATTTTCGGACGGAGAGACACCTTCTAAATTAAGGTTTGCAGAGGAAGACAAATTTCTCAAATCACTGTCCACAGTTGACGCCGATATTGTACTCCTGTGAGCATTTTCGAACAGATTTATAACTGATGCTAAACTGTTCTGATCCACTGAAGAATCTGAGTCGCTATTTTCCATAACGTTTGAAAGTAGTTGCGCGAAAAATCATTTAGCATACCTAAATTGCCGCTAAACAGTATTTTTCTTCGAAAATCGACTACGTTGGTATTGTAAAACAAACTCTAAAACCTTAATTTTCGCTATTATTACTTTCATAACTAAGCAAAAACCCTCTAATGTGTTTTTTTAAATAACGTTTGAAGGTAGTTTCAGTAGTCCATTCTGGAAGGTTAAACTAAATATTATACATGCTTTTTGATATTGGACAGCAGAAGAAGCATTCTTCTAACACAAGACGAGGACCTATTAGTCCTCTGTCCTTTTGCACAGTGTTATGGTAGGAAAAGAATGAACGGCTTTAGATGGTTGTGCGCAATCATAATACTCACCCTGCGCTAGTCTCTATACGAAACACCTGGAAATGTACCTGATGAAATTATCTCGCTCATACTATCTCGTGAAAAAGATATTGTATATATTGTATATTTAATCTCTGTTATATTTCGATAACAATTACACGGAAAAAAAGTAATAATAATAGTGATATTTTCGGATTGTGATTCGTACCTTCCGCTGGTTGATGATGGTCAATCTGGTACACACGTGATATAGCAGCAGTTAAAAGTACAAATGGTCAGCCTACATTTTGAATGTATCGTGAAAATTAACGAGTATATAAATAGATTATCGTTATAACAATTCCGGTCAAATAAGTTTCAATATCTTGCTAAGCATCCTGCGTTATGAGGTGCTTGTTAAAACAATCATACATTAAATCTCTAGTTTTTCTTTCTTCTCTAAGCGCTATCGTTCACTATTTATTTTAAAGATGTCACAGCCAACACTTTAACCAGTAACACATATAACTAAAATTCCTAAAGCCAGGAAAGAAAGAATTAGAAGGTATGTTTGCGAGAAAGCTGAGATGTCGAGAAGTATGTGTTCCATGCAACCTAATTCTTGAGAAAAGGATCGTAACACATCATACCTAATTGTAATCTAATGAGAAGGCATTTCGATCACGGAATGCAGCTCAAACGTTCCAAAGGTTTATCGATAGCATAGTAAGATTCTTAAGTTATGTTCACGTCTACACTGATGACCTGCTAATCGTATCATCAAACGTGGATGGACATTTTCAGCATAATGGAATAATAGTCAAGAAGGTCAATTGTGAACTCGGAAAACCGGAAAAAGAATTCCTAAGCGGACATACTGAGCGAGAGGGTATTTTATCTTGTAAGGAAGAAGCACCGGCAATAAAGGGGTACACTGTACAGTCCATAGTTAAGGAAATGAAGACTATCCTTGGTGATCAATCAGCCACACTTAGTATAGCGGTTGATGGATTAGATTTCGCTATCGGAACCGTTTTGCAACAGAACATCTAAGGAAGTTGTCAACCTCTCGAATTTTCCCCACGACACCTCACTCCCACGGAGACTAGATATTGAGCTTTTCCTCGAGAACTGCTAGCAGCTCACTGTGCCATCAAACATTTCCGGGACTCAGCAGAAGGCCGCGACTTTATCCTCTTCACCGCATGCTCTAAATACCAAGTCTGGCAGCCAGTCACCACGAGAGTCCAGATATTTGGACTTTATCTCTCGGTTCCGGACAGACCCTCATATTAAAAGCTAGTCGAACTATGTTTCTGTCACGTATCCAAGTGAATGCAGTTACTTTACAGGTGCTTGATCTCCCTGCTATGGCTGATGCCAAAGCTAGTGATCCCTCCTTTGCAGACTCACAACATTTTACATCCCTTCGGTACCCCCAGCTACTACCTCGGGTACTATCCTGTGTGATACTTTTACTGGTCTACCCCAACCCAAAGCACCCTCTGCTTATTGTAATCTCTTCTTCCATGCACTTCACGGAGAGTTTCACCCAGGTATCGCAGCCACAGTACGTCTCATCGCTGCACGATACGTCTGGCCTTCCATAAATAAAGATGACCGTATGTGGGTAAAGCACATTTTCTAGGGCTGAAGTTCGCTTCAGTTATATCCATTAAGTCCATTACGGTGGAGACAGCTGCGCACCGCTTCATAGAACGAAAGATAGCGCTGGACGGTTGACCGAGGACAACGATTCGAGTCCGAATTATTCTCCTCGCTAACCCGGCAGCTTCGTACGGACCGCACACGCGCTACCGCTTACCACCAGGCTTTAAGTGGTTTAGTTAATTAGTTTCATCGACAGCTTAAAAGTGCTCTTCGAGCACATGAAAACAACAATTGGTAATACACTTTACCGCTCGTCCTATTAGATATCAAAACGAGCTTAAAGTCAGATATTAAATGTTCCACCGCTGAACTTGTATTCGGCACGACATTGTGTCCGCTTAAGAATTTTTCACACCGCGGAGCAGTAACGATTTCGGTAAGTCAGACTACGTCCAACGATTGTCTGAATTTGTACGAACTTTGCCTCTGGTGTCAACTCGGCTACAGTAACGACAGGTCGCTCTCCCTCTAGAGTAATCTACCTGTTCAAATGTTTTCATCAGAGTTGATTCAATACGCAGACCTTCGCAACAGTCTTACAAAGGACCTCTCCACGTGATTTCTCGTCACGAAAAGACCTTCAAGGTTGATCGACATGTCCGCGTCGAGATAGTCAGCATCTCAAGCCAGCACACCGCAGTGACAGTAACCTACCTAATAATCTGAGGCCCAACGCTAGACTCATCACACTTGCTAACGCGATCCCTACGTCCACTTCGGACCCCACGCTAGATACATCAGAGGCCTCATCCTCACCAGCAAGCGTGAATACTGACGTTGTGTTTATCGTACCTAAAGTTGTTATCGTTCAAGTCAGACCACTCCAGACTCCTAGTTTCACTGCATTTGTGGTCATCGATTAAAAAAATATTGCGGACAACAGTGTTGGAAATACCTGAATCTCGGTGACATGATTAACATCTCGAGTTCTGTGCTTATCCAACTTGTAGAATGTTTTTCAACTGCTCATTAAAATTAGGAATACTCGGCATCTAGCCAAGTAATTTTGGACTGCACGTTATATATGTATTTCATTCTTCATACCCTAAACTTCAGAATCGATAGGGAACAATGTGGGTAAGTTTTAAACCCAGTCTGAAATGCCATTGCTTGACACAGGGACAGCCCAGTTATATCTATCTGAGACCTCATTCTCACGTCCCAGTCAACAGCACGCATCATCTGCACTATCTACGGTTCAGACTCCGGTCTCACGTCCAGATCAGCGGATTTCTCCGTCCTTGCGGGCTCATCAGATACGTATGAGACCACCGTCTCAAGTTCTGTACACCGGGTATGCCTACCTGTACATTTTCGTGACTAATGTCTTCGTTGACGACGGACACAGCATGAGACCTTATACTCACACTATGTGCATGCTCCACCTTTCCCTTATTTGATTTTTTATATACTGAGCCTTAGCCTCCGACCATTGCCCAGCTGGTACCATCGACTTCAGTCAAACTTGGCGAAAGCTGGCCTGGTCGCCCACGCTCTTTTCAATGTACTCAGTCAGTGATTTTGTTTCAAACATATCTGGCATACGTATGGTCTCGAACTCAGTCGCTGTGGTCGTTTCTTTTCTATTCACTCAATCTGGCGTTTCTGGTCCAAACCCCTACAAACGCAATCTTCAGATTCTGCATGCGGATCACGATGGTGTGGTATGCTAACTTGAGCAACAACTATGGTACGTTAACCCTGGCACCCTTCCTCATAAAAGACCTTCAGTGACAACTCGAGCATCGCTGATTGCTTCCTGTTTATCAACCCTTCTGCCCTACAACCGCACGTTTGCAGATCAGTCCCCTGAACGAAGCCGTCACGTATCGAAAGTGTTATTCCTTCTGGAAAAGGGGTCCAGTAGTGGATTACTTTTGTGAAGAGAACGCGAGTGGTGTAATGAAAAATTTTATTATCGTTACCAGTTTTAATAAAGACTGGTTTACTGTACCCCTCTGTTTAAGCGTACCAAAAACACACATCTTCCTCTTTCCGTGACCTTGAACTTGCTGACGCCCCTTCGGTAGTCTTGCCTGTATATTTTGGCCTGATCTTGGTATTATTTCGATACCATGAGATGCCAACGAACATACCTTGACTCCAATCACAAGTGGCCTTCTGATTTCTGCCGTGAAGGGATGCAACTGGGCTATTGACGTAATATAGATTCAACTCGCTATAGCATGACCAAGTGCCTTCAGCTATAGTGTTCTAATATGACTAAAGTTATCTGCACCAGTGTCATAAACTTATAGAGACATTTGTTTAGGCTATAAAACCAGAATAGCGACCGAAATCATTGCCATAAACAAACCCCATACATGGTCCGTTTGTGGCGAGACTAGATGCAACAGTGATACTTTACTTACTCACTTACTTTTGCCTGTTACCCAGAATGGAGCATAGGCCACCGACCAGTTTTCTCCAACCAACTCTGTCCTGGGCTTCCCTTTCCAGTTCTTTCCGATGACCTTTTTATGTTCTTAGATTGATTCCACTGTGGTTTACTTCTCGAGGCATATCTTCGGTCCCTAATCTTTTTAATTAACGCCAATGAGTCTACTGCCTCTACTAATAATGGGTGTGAGTTGACTGTGGCATCACAGTGTACTAATGTGGTATGGCAACTTGAACTGATGTACGTACGTACGTGCTAAGTTTTACATTGTGACTGACTAACCTAGTCATCTTTTAATTACATCATAATATTTACTCACTGTTTTAGTTAATAATAAGTTCGTCGAAAAAGTACTTTTACTGAAGGTCGCATTCTCTATATTTTCATGGGAATATTATTTACTTACTTACGCCTATTAACCCCAATCGAGCATAGGCCACCGACCAGTTTTCTCCAACCAACTCTGTCCTGGGCTTCCCTTTCCAGTTCTTTCAAGTTTTCGTTCATTCTTTTCATGTCTTTCTCTATTTCTCATCTAAATGTGTTTCTTGGCCCTCCTCTTTTCCCCTGACCTTGAGGGTTCAAAGTGAGGGCTTGTCTTGTGACTCTGTTGGGTGCTTTTCGCAGTGCGTCCTCTCCATTTCTACAGCTTCTTCTTCATTTCCTACTCCGCTGGCATCTGGTTTGTTCTGTCCCACAGTAGATGGTTGCTGATAGTGTCGGGTCAACGAATTCAAAGTATTTTGCGTAGACAAGTGTTCATAAATATTTGTACCTTCTGGATGATAGCTGTCGTAGTTCTCCGAGTTTCCGCTCCATACAGTAGAAATGTCTAGACATTTGTATTGAAAATACTGTTTTTGGTGTCGACTGATATTTATGGGCAGAGTTTTGGGGGTTTGTGTTTGTATACATTTGAAATCATCAATCGATCGTTGTTAGACCACCATTAGAAACCTGGAGGCACTGAACGGCCGTTTCGTCTTGGGATGGGACGCATCAGCAGTGCGCATCTACGACTTTGTTTGCAGTTTCAGATAATTTTCAATTGCATGAATGCAGCCATTGCTCTGCCGCGCCCTCACATCTGTATCGGATCCACCTCCGTTGTCAATCATGCTGCCAACATATGTAAAGGTGTTAATTTCCTCCAAGAGTGATTTGGTTGACACATGTTGTGTTGCATCGCAGCATCATGCTTTTCCCTTTATGTACGTTAGGAACTGCAGCTGATAGAGCTGCTGCTACACCGACTTGAAATTGTCGTTACGTGTTCGATAGAAGAGTCAAGTCATCTGCGAAATCCAGATCGTAAGGCTGCGTCCTAGCTGACTATTGGATACTGTGCTTCCTTCAAGATGTTGACGTTTTCATGATCCAAACCAACATAATAAGAATCTAAAACAAGTGGAAGATAAAAATAAGGTTTATAGTTTACTCGTTTGAATATATTGTCCATTCGACATTTTACTTGTGACTAATCTGTGAGTTTTTAATTAGTTAGGCCGTCGAAGTTAAGTTCAGAATTCTGTATGATGCTGCCTATCTTCTCAGGCACGCCGTAGAGTCGAAGAAGCCTCCATAGTGTTTTATTGTCCACGCTATCGAATGCTTTCTCGTAATCGATATAGTTGATGTTGAGTGGTGAGTTTCATTCAATTGATTGTTCTACAATAATCAGTAACGTTGCAGTTTGTTCGGTACACGATCGATCCTTACGAAAGACGACCTGTTGATCTCAAAGTTGGGCGTCTACGGAGTCCTTTATCCTGTTTAACAACACCCCGTTGGAGACTTTGCCTGGTATTCAGCGAAGAGTGATGCCTCTGTAGTTCTCACACCTGCTGAGATCGCCTTACTTTGGTATTTTGATCAGGCATCCTTCTTTCCAGTCTGTTGGTACTTGTTGCTCATCCCAAATCTTGTTGAAGAGAATGTGGAGTATTTTTGAAGTTGAGGCTGCATCTGCTTTCATTGCCTGTGCTGGAATGTTTTCTGGTCCGATAGCCATACTGATTTCCTTAATTGTTGGCGTGCCTTCAATAATTAGAAGGTCCGTGGATGGTGCTTCAATGTTGGGTGGGTTTATCTGGGCTGGTCGATCCAAGAGTTCCTTAAAGTGCTCTACCCACCTGTTGCTGAGTATTTTGTCTTCCTTACTTCCCACTGATCGTTCTGGTTTACGATAGTTTCCAGCGAGCTTTGTTGTATCGTACAATTGTCTCAAGCTCCCTTCTATTGCAGTCTTTTCCGCTGTCATCGCTATATCGTCCACATATTTACGTTTGTCGGCTTTGGTGCCCCTCTTCACTTGCCTGTTTGCTACTGTGTATTGAGCTTGTGCCTTGGCTTTCTTTGCTTTTGTTCGGCTGATGTTGATTGCGGCCTTCTTGTTCCTCCTTTTTTGCATTTTATCCAGAGTACCAATAGAGATCCATTCCTTGTGATGGTACTTGTGGTCCAGAACCTCCTGACATGTTGAAGTGATTGCTTCATTGATCTCTTTCCTATTGTTCTCTATGCTAGTTTCCTCTCCATAGAGTGGATCGTGCAAGGCCTGTAACTTATTGCTGAGGGCTATCTTGAATTCGTTGAGTTTTACGGTTTCCCGAAGAAAGTAGAAAAAGTCTTATTTACCGCTGTGATTTAAATCTAACTAACGACTGACTACCTGTCCTTGTTCAAGCAAACTCGAATTAAACATTTAGAAAGAACTTCAGCTGAATGACCATTGTCTGGTCGCCTTATCTTGTCAGCATTTACTCCTCACTCTTGATATATCAAAAGCCTATGAAGTGTTGACAAAAGGTTTTTATTCATGTAAAGTGGTTGAATATTGGAGAGGGATTCTCGGCAAGACAAACAAACGAGCTTTTCAACACTAAAAATACCATAGCGTGAAACATTATACCCACATCAACATGGTTTTGGTCCTAATATGGTGTCGTCGGTGAACACTTGGCCACCAAAATCAGGCTGCGAAACCGCTCTCATTATTCCGAAAATCCCAGTTCTCATATACAAAAACCTTTCACATATTGCTGAACCTTGCTACGTAATTACTGTGCTTACTAAGTCACTAGGACATTCAAATATCTGCATCGCGTAATTCTTTTGTGAAAGTCAGTCGGGTATCCATTTAATCGAATAGGACCCGGTGAGGGTAGAAAAGAACAGAAATATGCACGGTTTTCTTACAGATAATCATTCGAATTACTAGGACTAGTGATATTTTTTCCGGTTTTATTCTGATGTGCTTCCCATTATATTAGAATTATGTAGGTCTGAAGCTTAATAATCTAATGAGAACCTGACGTGTCATGGATTTTAAGATTTAGGCAGCGGTCTTGTCTATGATACCCAGAGCTAAGTTAGGAGTGAGGAGGATCAAGGGTCTATATATGGTTGGGATATTGAGGAGTGAGTTAGATAAGCTTGTTATTTGATGCAAGGAGATGCGTTGCACAGCATACCCCATGATGATCTGGTGCGGATGACTGATCGAGCGCCTCCAGACAAAGCGTGTCTTGTGAAACTATTAAGGTCAGCCTCAACGTCGAAGACTTACGGAACTATTTCTTATGGGGATTTTTAACACCACAAACCCATAATATCTGAAAAATATAAAAGCTGAAGGAGATTCATCCAGCTAGTCGAATCATGCATTGATAATGCCTTTCAGTTTAAGGTTTCATTAACAGTATTTCTTTATTTTGAATTTTGTCCGGATGAAGTTGAAGAATGACTGTATTGCGAAACAATGAACGTAAGCGAAAATTTTGAAAATACTTGCATATAGTGAAGTTTGTGTAAAAAATATTGCATGTGCAGTGTTTTGTGAGGTCAAACCTAAACCTTAATGTCTGTACATTTGCCCGCCAAACACGTTCATCTAAACCAACAGAGTCTAAATAATCATTATGGTTCGTACGATTGTATAGATTTTGCGTTTGTTTTTCATCTGATCGATCACCAAGGTGGGTCACTAAAGGTCTGAAGTTTGGCTGATATCAGGCAAAATACTGCCATCTTCCCAACGAATGAGAACTCGATGCCTAAATCTCTCAGAACAACTGTTTTCAAAGACCCTGAGCTGTCAAAATATTTCAGTCATGAGAATCCAGCGGCTGTATTTACCGACTTTCGGCAAATTGGCTGCGGTAGCTTTGGAGCAGTTTACTACGTAAGCGAATTTCATGCCTATTTGATTACATTAGGCTCGGAATCGCACAACAGGTGAAGTCGTAGCCATAAAAGAACTAAAGGTTGATACTAAACGTAAAAAGTCTGAAGAAGAGTGGAACGATATCGTTAGGGAGATAAAATTCCTTTCTCACCTCTCCCACAAAAACTGCGTACTACCGAAAGGATGCTTCATGAAAGAGCAAACTCCATGGGTACGCGTGCTACATATTATTACATTTTCTTTCTAAAGTTAGTGATGGAATACTGTATCGGCTCAGTCGCAGATGTTTTAGAAGGTAGGTCATGTTTCTCTAAACCAATAATTACTGACAGTGCATAAAAAACCACTTCGGGAGGATGAAATCGCTTGTATCGTCCAGGAAGTACTGACTGGTCTTGATTACCTACACTCTGAGAAAAGAATTCATCGAGACATCAAAGCAGCTAATATCTTACTAACGGACTCTGGTGGCGTAAAGATTGGTGATTTCGGATCAGCTAGTTTTGTGAGTCCGGCCAACAGCTTCGTGGGGACACCATTTTGGATTGCCCCAGAAGTTATTCTGGCTATGGAACAGGGCATATATGACGTTCGAGTGGATGTTTGGTCTCTAGGAATTACTTGTATTGAAATGGGTTAGTTTTTGCTACTTGTCATAATAGTTTATAAGTTCTGATTATCAGTGTATAAAACTCATTTTCTGTTTTATTTTACAACTCAACCACTAAACCTTCCATTCAATTTTTACACCATTCGTTTATTTTAAGGTAGCCCACCAACATTCCGATCCTTCAGTCTGTCGGATTAACTATCTGGGGCTAAACACATATTGTTAGCTGTTATTAATTTTTGTTCCAAAGACTAATCACCTGTCAAACGAAACAGAAGTGACTAGCTACCTCATAATAAGCGAATGGTATTCATCTACAAACTTAAAACCTATACAAGAAACTAGATTCGCATTGTCGGTCTTTCCAACCTTGATAATGTGGTTATCAAAGAATAGCTACCTATCTAACTTTTTGGTCATTTACTCACCTGACCTGGTAGTTTTTTTAATTCCGGTTATGGGAAGTCTAAGGAGACACCAGAAGTGTGCTAAAAGTACCCCCAACCGCCATTAGTAGTCTGTATTCACTTAGGTCTAAGGCTTACCGATTTTGCCACCACTGACCTTTATGACATAATGGAATCCCATGAAAATCAGAAAAGCGATTCCAGTCTGAGTAGTCAGGACGAAAAACCCTCATCGTGAAGCTGAAGTGGAAGCTATGATTAATTATCTAAGTTGAGAAAGTGTTACTAACACCATACGTATCTATCCTCTTGCGGCTTTTATTGTGAGAGTTTTTACCTCAGTCATTTTTGTTTATCATCCATTGTAGCTGGTTGCACCCAATACTTTACCCTTATGGTTTATGCTTCATGTAACCAGTTCTAGATATTTTATCTGACCCACCTAACCACTCATAGCAAGTCAGCGCGGTTAAGGTAAGATTTTTGTGTGAGCTATTCATGGTGTTTCTGTAACAGAGTTTTTCTCCTCTGGACAATCGAATGGATTGAATGACATAACACTCCTGAATAGAGATTCCACCCTTCAGTTTTTTTTCTTCAAGCTTTGCATGTTTCTACTCTATGTACTGGAGCCAAGATCTAGTTGATTACTTTAGAGAATGTGATCATAAGTATTTAGCAGTGGAGTAGGACCTCGTGAAGAATTTCTACTCGAACATTTCTGGTTGAGGTGAACTTATGACAAACTTTCATTGAAAGTAATGGCAAATTCTTTTCCTTGAGATTGTTTACCTTTACCCTTATTTCGTTCCGTCGTAGTTATCTGACCTGTTAGGAGTTCCATTTACTGACTCGAAACATAAGGGTGGCGATTCTGTTTGATGAAGAGTAAAAACACACACTTCCAATCACCTTATTTCACGGAGAGCCTCAGCACATATTCAGGATGATCCGTTGGTTTTTTACCAACTTGTAAGTACTTGATCCTAGGTTTATTGAAGTTCGTCTGTTAGTATTGCCTAGTAAGCGACCATGTTATACACAGCTTACAAGTAAAGATGACAAATTGGCGTATGGAGTAGAAAGTCTTCAGCCAAAGTGGTTGGTATATGCACTATAAATTTTCTGCCTTTAACGCACGATATTGGTGTAAGTTAGGAGAAAGCTAGGTGTCTCCAAGTGTTTCAGTTCGTTAAGTCAGTGACGGTAGGTCTGAGTCACATAGATAATTTCAAAATATCTGGCGAGAGTCCGAGCAATTACAGCCAGAAAAGTTGTGACATGAATCAGAATTGGTCTCAATGGTTTAGATATTTTCTCTCCTTGTCTCCTGAGGTATTTAGTTCTAAAATTAGGTTCTACTCTTTACTTCACAAATTCATCTTTCTTCAACCAATGATACTGTTAGTATTTCTATCCTATCGTTTATTTTGATAATTCCATCTCGTTCAGTTGTGGTGTAGTGAAGGAGAACACAGGTGAGGGCAACCGAATTGTATTTAACGAAGATTACAGAGTTACTCAGTAAAATAGGAAAACCATATCGTGACCGTTAATTTGCAAATCTTCAATCAATCATCAATCCATTGTCTGACATTTCACTATTCATGCGTTTCATACAAATTCCATTGTGTTCCCACTCTTCCTTTCTTGATCTTCCCCCATCTTCTACTGCCAGACATTACGTTTACACACGCGTCATATACTACTTACAAGTAGCGCGCACCACAGTGGTATGGACTTGGACCGATGTACATTTACATATCAGATTCTATGTTGCAAAAGACTGGTTTTAACCACTAATGGAAGTAGGTTTAGTACATGTTAACGTCATAATTTTACTTCCCCAGTTGTTTGAGGCTTGCTTAATCATGGATTGCTTTACTAGCCCTACTACTAACAACTTTAGTCAAATGATGTACAGTGCCGGATATTTTATACCCCACAGTTTTTATTGTACACTGTTACTTTGCTTTATTATTAGCTGAGTTGGAACCTCCTTACTTCAGCGCTACCAATCCAATGGCCGCACTATATCAGATTGCTTCGAATGATGCCCCACGACTGGTAGGAGGTAACTGGTCCGATGAATTTCGGGATTTTATACGATTTGTTCTCCAAAAAGATGTAAGTTCTGTAATCCTAACTGTCTTTTGTATTAATGTCTTATGTAGAAGACAGACAGACAGATACAACGCAGAACTTCGTATGTAAGTACATCAGTTCAGATTGCCATGCCCCATCAGCACAGAGACGCAACTGTCAGTTCAAATCCAAGAGTGATAACAACAATAGAAGTATTAGCAGTAATGGAGAAGATTAGGGAGCGAAGATATGATTCGAGAAATATAATTCAGTAATATAAATTTAGAAGGAGAAAGGTAGAGATTATGTGGAATGCAGAAGCTTAGAATTTCATAGAACACAAAGAGTGGATGCTCCTGCGCCGTTGCAAACGATTTTGAGCCATGTCGTTCAAGGTCTCTAACGATCGTCTCGCGGACCCCAACTAGGTAGCCTACACCTACCAACATGACTCAGTCCACTTGTCAATGGTTTTATGGATTTCTGCCATGTTTTGGTTTGTCCGCCCCTAATTTTCTTCCAACCTACTCCTACACCACAAAACATAGCTCGTCGCGGCAGTCGGTTGTTAGCCATACGTAACACATGTCCCAACCACCTCAACTGATGAAGTTTCAATACTTCTTCTATTAATCTGCCATCCTTTCCTAGTACTCGTTTCCTAACGAAAGCATTGCTTACTCGGTCGTCCCATGATACACAAGCAATGCTTCGGAGACATCGATGATCGAAGACTGGTTAGCAAACGGATACCTCGCCTGCGCCATAGGTGACGCAGATTGGCAAAAGCCAATCGAGCCTTCTGTATCCGAGCTGAGATTTCGTCAGTCACCAGGCCATCATCACTGATGAGACTCCCAAGATAAGTGAAGCGGTCTACACGTTTGACTACTTCACTCCCTATCACTAGTTCAGGTGCCGATACAACCCAATCTTGAAGCAACATTTTGCATTTCGAGGGTGAGAACCGCATCCCGAACATGCTTGCGTTGTTGCTTAGGGTGATCAGAAGACTGCATTTTGTCAGCGTCTTATGTAGAAGGATTTATCCCGTTTTTAGCTTCATGAATCTTACTAGTTAATACCATAGTTTTAGCTTTCATGAGTAATTCTCAGTTTCAATCAATCAATCCTTGAATTTCCCATCGATATCATAATTTATTGTAATGTAAAAAAGTCGCACATTCTAGTTTTGTTTCACTTCACTCTTAAAGAAGATAAATAATTACAATGTCTGTTGTGCTACTGTATTAAAGATATCACTGAGATGCTGTGAAGCCGGGCTCCAAAAACTTGGTATCTGGAAACCAACAACAGGAACTGGGTAGACTTACTCCAAAATATCAATACATTTTATGGAGCATAAATATTTAAGGTTGTCTTCAAAATAATCGTTTGTAAAAATTTGTCTTTGAGGTACTCCAACGATTTTAAAGACTTCGTATTTCCAGACAGCAAATTCAATGAATATCATTTAATGAAATTTGTATTAACGTAATAGTGAACCATATTCAAAATGAAATTCAAGACTAAAGACAACTAAAATCCAAACACCCACTTCGTTTCTTAACACCATGTTTATATTTTTTTAAGAATTCTGCATACTTAGCTAGTGTCCTGCACTTCCCAGAATTAGATTTTTCGCGGTTATTATTCCCTACTGCAGTTAAAATTCGGTCCTCAACAAATCATCATTTTCTTCATGTATTTCAAATCTTCGTGGTAGTTATTGTTATCACCGTTATCACCGAACTCACATTAATACTGTGTGATATTAGAATAACTGTAGTGTCTTATTTTATTTTTTAGATGAATGAAAGACCATTTTGTTCCCAAGCCATGACACACCCCTTCTTGGCTAGTGTGTTTCGTTTTGCCCATATTCTTCCAGAGTTAATTCAGCGAACCAAAGCAGCCGTAGCCGCTCAAGAAAATCAAATTAGTCAAAAATGGAAAAAAATTCTTTATGAAAGTGATTTAAACCGTTCTTCATCCTCTGTTGTACCCAATAGTAGTGAGGAGAGCCCAACGTCTAAAAAAACTGTATTTGTCTATGATGACTCTAACGCAGATATAGAGGCTTCTGCAAGAAATTCATACAAACCACATCTTGTTTCTGGAATGTTAAGGCAATCTTACGAAGGACCAAACGTTGGTGGATCTGAGCGCAGTTTGCGACGACATGATTTACGAAAAGCATCTATTCAAACTCACCAGCGTGATTCTAACAGGTGTATTGATGAGGAGGCCTGTCATGATAGTAGTTCGATAAACGATGATGTAGAGTATCTTGTGGTAAGCTGTTTTTATTTTTGTACCGTTTAAATTAAAAAATTTCGTAATTCGTTGTTGCTTTATAAGTTTCATAGAGGTTTTCTGAATTTCGTAGTTAACATTACGGACTGATCCCTGTAACACAAAATCTTCAAAAATTATGTTGAGTCCGGATACAACTGGGTACGGTCAAGCATTTTCTCCAATAGTGGCCAAAAATAAGCGTTCAAAATTATTAATTATCGTGGTAAAAAACATATGTTCCTGTAGGTTCTAACATACCAGACAGGTCGACTGGAAAATGATGAGACTAAAAGCAGCCACTCAAGGTCTGATGGCGAAGTCGTACTGCTGACTGAAGAGGGACGTGGCAGCAGTAAGGTGTTTCCCCCGGACATCCAGAATATGCAGCGATGTTGCCTTCTCAAAAGGAAGGAAAGAAGGGGCTAGAAAAGGTCGACCCTAAAAATGTCACACCTCACCTTACCTCAATGATTTCCGTCTCCGACGGTAGGGGCTTTTAAAAAGAACGGGTCTAACACTTCAAAGACTTCTCATAAAAAGGCTGTGTGTGACCGACGTGAAGCAGTTATCCCTTGGGCCCTGCGGTCACGCTCCTAGTTGTCTAACACCAACAGTAATCCAACTTCTTTTTCAGATGTGGGCAGTCGGGAAGTGATATCCACCTTCATACTCGTAACAGCACACAAGACCAAATCGGTCACAATCAAATCCTCCCTACTCCTAATAACCCTCTAACCTCCATGATCAGACCTTCTCACATTCCTTTATCACCTGGCACCGCTGACACAAACGATTTGAGTACGCGAAACGTTGTCCCTGGTCTCCTGAAACCTCGTTTTAAACTACTTGTTGGAACTTCTAATGTTCGAACCTTGTGCCAAATAGGGCAACAGGCTTCCTTTGGAATCCCATGCCATCGATGTATGCTGCATCTCCGAAACGCGCATACAAGATCCGAGTAAAATCATTCATTTGATTTCACCTTGTTCAGATAAAGAACCCACTCGGCTTACGCCTCGTGTATCTGGAAGCCCTGCTACTGCTTCCCTTGTCTCGCTGGTGTAGGTATAGCATTGACTTCTAGGGCGGAAATAGCTCTCTTAGACTGGATCTCGGTAGACAGTCGCTTATGCGCTGTCTTACTAAACGGTACAATAAGGACTCGTAAAGATAGAGAAACTCGCCGTTGCCTGTTTGTTGTCTCTGCATTCGCTCCCACTGACTGAAGCTCGGTTGAGATAAAAGATGGGTTTTACAAAAACCTTTCTAGCCTTCTTCAAAAAGTTAGGCGCTGTGATATAGTAATAATGGCTGGTGACATTCATACTCGAGTTGTTAGACTAAGTGAAAAGGAATCTTTTGGTGTTGAAACTCACAGGACGGAAAAAGGCGAACGTCTACTGCAGCTAAGCTCAGACAATCGCCCTTTTCTAGCAAATAACAACTTCAAACACGGGGAGAAATTTGTTTTGACGTGGCGACCCCCAAATTCGTCCCAACTTTGGACCCAACTAGATCACATCGCTACGAGTCACCGATAGAAAGGCTCAGATAATATTCGTCTTCCTTGACCTTAAAAAGGCATTCAACTTTGCCGATCGTTAGGTTCTATGGCAGTGTCTGTCATTGAAAGGTGTACCAAAGGAGTACGTTAACCTCATACAGGCTCTGTACTCGAGCACTACTAGTTGAGTGAGAGCTTACAACGAACCGTTATCAGAATTGATTACTTCAGGTACTGTCCACTTTCTCCGTTCTTGTTTATCTTTGATGTGCTTTTAGATACGACACTGCATCATCTGACTTTTCAGGGTTGGACTTTCTACCGGGAGATTCGCTCGTTGACTTAGAATTTGACGATGTCATAGTTCTATTCGGTGAAGACGCTGACAAAATGCAGTCTTCTGACTACCCTAAGCAACAATCCAAGCATGTTCGATATGCGGTTTTCTACCTCGAAATGCAAAACGTTGCTTCAGGATTGGCTTGCACTGGCACATGAACTAGTACTAGTGAGTGAAGTAATTGAGCGAATTGACCACTTCACTTGTCTGTGGAGTCTCATCAGTGTTGATGGCCTGATGTGCGACGAAATCTCAGCACGGATACGGAAGGCTCGAGTGACTTTTGTCAACTTGCGTAATCTACGGTATAGATGAGGTGTTCGTCTGTTAACCAAAGGACGAGTCTGCTGGGCAGCAGTTCGCTGCGTCCTACTTTACGGCTGTGCAACAGTGAGAGTAAAGGATACTCGTAGGCTATTAGTATTTGATCACCTGTATCTTCGATGCATTGCTCGTATATCCTGGCACAACCGAGTAAAAAATGTTGTCGTTAATAAACGAGTAATAGGTATTGAAACTTCATCAGCTGTGGTGGTTGGGACATGTGTTACGTATGCCTAACCACCGACTGCCTCGTCGAGCTATGTTTTGCGATGTAGGAGAAGTTGGAAAAAATCTAGGGGCGGCCAAGCCAAAACATGGTTCAAATCCATAAAGTCACTGACAAATGGGTTGAGCCATGTAGGTAAGTGTGGACTACCTGGTTGGGGTCCGCGAGATAATAGTAATCGATGGTTATAGGCTTTGAATGACATGACCGAAAACTGTTTGCAATGCTCAGGTGCATCCATTTTTAGCTTTTCCAGATCCTAATCTTTTGGATTCTTCATCACTTTCATCTCTTTCTTAAGTTATATCACTGAATTGTTTTCCTTGAATAATATCTTCGAACCCTAATCTCTCCGATTAT